AATCTACACCATATCTAGTTGGCGTGCTGCTGCCTTGCAATGTGTTTGACAGCTGCCTGCTACTGCCCAGATAATCATGTGCTCAGTGGTCCCATAACTGCTGAAACACGGACCTTGATGTGAATCTACACCATACATCGTTGGTGTGCTGCTGCCTTGCTATGCATTTGAGAGCTGCCTCTTTCTTGGCGAGTAGCCCTTGCTAATTATCAGCAGGGGCCTCTCAGATTACCCGCAAGGGTTCTCTGATAAATGTCGAAGACCTCTCTCTCTCTCTCTCTCTCTCTCTCTCTCTCTCTCTCTCCATGCAATCAGACTCGCTTTCATTCACACTTCTCATGTATGTAAACAGGTTGCGCAGCAAACTGGCGACAAGCACCCACTCAGAACTCAGAGATAGGGCAAACAAGAACACAGTTCAGATACAAGTTCACTTCAGATGGCTACACGCGATACCCTGCACACACACACACACACACTACACTCTACCTACAGCTATGGCGGCTATGGCCGCTGCTAACCTATCGCTATGGCTAAGCTCCTTCTCACCCACTTCGTCTCGGGCTCACTGCAGACCACCTCACACAAGTCGCTGTGGCAGCGCTTCCGCATGGCTCACGCAGGAATGAATGAATGGCTGGGCGCTGCCTCTTGATTTATACTTCTGTAGCTCGTTGGTCTGCCCCTTTCCCATGACCCTGGTGCACACAGTCCCACACAGTATTTGCTTGATTGGACTGTGACTGACTGGGACCGGTACCGCTGACTGCATGGGTTTGCACTGCCAACTCAATGCAGTCGCACCGCCGACGTACTGCAGTTGGGCTCACCACTTGCCCAGTTGCCTCAGCCTAAACGTGAGCAACTTCGAAAGGCCACTACTAGGACCTTCCGGAAGTCTGTGTCCTGGCCTTTTTGAAGACTGTAGCAGCTACGACCTTGACCCTTCAGGACTGTAGCAGCTACGACCTTGACCCTTCAAAAGTTCTACAGCTACGACTTCTAGAACTCCCTAAGACTTCTACGAGACAGGTCTACAGATCGAACCCCTGCTACCTACGGACCCTACAACATACACAGGTCACAGGTTCGACTCTCGGGGTCAACACAAATACTGTACACAGGTAAGGTGAGGACTAGGGATCGAGCCCTGGGATCTGCATTGGCTACTGCGAACAGGTGAATACCGTTTCACTCCCCCCGGCCTAAATTCGAGGTCCTTCGAGAATAACTCAGTCCAAGGCAGGACCTTTTCCCTTCTTATCTCTCTCTCATAGGCTCTAACTATGTCGGGAGCTGTTTCTAGAAGATCTGTTCTAGTAAACCAGCGGTCGTCCTCTGGCTCCTGATAAGCAAATCGGACCTTATATTGTTTTTGTGGATGACCTCTACCTCCTGTTCTAAACACATCTTCATCTACGATGCCGTCAATGTCGTACCTTCCGTCCATGTCTGGAGGGATCATGGACTGTCTAGATGGAAGCTGCTGACTGGTGACACACGGCAACAACTTTGATGCATGAAATACAGGGTAGGTGTGGAGGTGTGCTGGGATCTCTACTGTGTAGGACGGCCCATCCTCTCCGCCCTTAACTTCTAGAACTGGTCACGATCCTCTATACGAGGGCAGTAACTTCTGCGAGATGTTTTCCTCGGGAGCAAACTCTTTGGACTTGACCCAGACTAAGTCGCCTACTTGAAACTGCGATGGGCGACGGTGCTTGTTGGCTTGCTCTATTGTTCTATGCTGGGCCTTCCTGAGGTTCTCAACAATTGTAGCTAGCTCTCTTTCGTGCTGTATCGCAAACTCCCTAGTGTCGGGCGGTAGCCTGTGAAACTGATCCGGTTAAGTCCTTTAAACGGTTTGCGCGGTCAAAAGGACTTGTGCAACTCATTGTGCGACAAGTGGACAAGTGCACGCTGTTGTTATACGCACTAGGTACCTTGGGCAACATCTCGTCCCAATTGACTCGGTCTGGTCTAATGTACATGCGCAAAACTTGCTGCAGGATCTTGTTCGTCTGCTCAGTCTGACCGTAAGTCTCTGGATGGCGGCGAGACGACATCAACAACTTGGATTCACAGACTTTCATCGGTTCCTCCCAGTTCTGACTTGTAAAGCGGCTATCTCTATCACTAACTATAGACAATGGGACTCCATGCTCACTAACCCAAAAGTCAAAAAACTTCTATATCACTAACTCAGTTCGGGCCTCTGCAGGCAAAGGAACAAAAACTGCATACTTGCTAAATCTATCAACTACGACCATGACTTGGCTCTTGCCGTGCCTACTCTTGACGCCGGCGTCCATAAAGTCAATGGACACTGAATCTCCTGGCTGATCAAGGATAGGCAAGGGTCTGAGAAGACCTAGACGGGAACGGGTAGTGGTCTTATTTCTTTGGCAAACTTAAGACATACTCTATGCAGTGGTTCTTCATTCCTGGCCACATATATGCATGCAAACCGAAATGTCCCTCTGTGTCGTGGCATTCCCCTAAGATCAAACTGCGGATCTTCGGACTGTTGGGAACGCACACGCGGTCTACTACATTAGTGTTCTCAAACAACAGTCCCTCTGTAGTGCGATAATCTGGTTCGGTCTCTGGGGCCTCCTTGACTCTTGAGGCGGTCGCTATAAATAAGGTCCTGCGCATATGCCTGTTTAACTTTTCCCTACAGGTCACTCCCTATGTCCAGATAGTGAACTATAGCTCCAAAGTAGTCGGATATCCTACTTAGAGCATCCGCAACTACATTATACTTGGCTTTAAGAGGCTTGAGCTCAAAGTCGTATTGGTCTATCTCAACGACCCACCTAGTCAACTTAGGTGTCAATTTGGCCTGTGTCTTCAGCCACCTCAGAGTCTCGTGGTTTGAATACACTTTGAAGAGCCTCCCAAGCAGGTAATGTTTCCAGTGCTCTAAGGCCTGCCTGAGAGCGTAGAGTTCCCTCTCGTACGTCGAGGTAGCAACCTTCTCTGAGGGCATCCTGGCTGACATAAACTCTACGGGTTTGTAGCCATTGTCGTCGTCCTGTTGTAACACGGCGCCTATTCCATACTGACTCGCGTCCGTGGTGACGACAACTGGCAAAGACGGATCTGCTGCTTTGAGGACAGGATACTCTATCAATGCGCGCTTTAACTTCTTCAGCGCAGACGTATTGTCTTTATCCCACTGCCAGATTGCCTCTTTCTTGAGCAACCTGCGAAGGTGAGCAGCGATAGTCGAGACGTTCCTCACGAACTTCCTATAGTAATTAGCTAGGCCCAGGAACGACCGCAACGCAGTCAACGTGCGGGGCGTCGGCCAATCTCTAATCACCGTTATCTTACTGTCCTCAGGCTTAATGCCATCTCCGTCCAAAGCGTGGCCCAAGTACAGGACTTGTGCCCTAGCCCACTCGCACTTCTTCACGTTGATTTTGAAGTTATCCTCTCTTAGCTTCTCCAAGACCTGCCTCAAATGACCCCGGTGCTCTTGGAAGGTCCTATTGAACACTAAGATGTCATCTAAGTAAACTGCGACGAATCTATCTAACCAAGGCCTAAACAAATCATTCATACATCGCTGAAATGTAGCTGGCGCATTGGTCAGTCCAAAGGGCATCACTATGAACTCATAGTGCCCATATCTAGTCCGGAAAGCAGTCTTGTACTGGTTATCAGGATGGACCTCTACCTGATGATATCCGGACTTCAAATCAATCTTCGAAAAATATCTGCAACCCTGCACCCAATCTAAGAGATCGTCTATCCTGGGCAGTGGCTCAACATTCTTTACCGTGATCGCATTCAGACCCCTATGGTCTATGCACATACGCAATTCTCCTTCCTTTTTGGGAACGAACAAAACAGGTGCTCCAAAAGGAGACGAACTGGGCCTAATCCAACCTTTCTTAAGGAGCTCATCCAACTGCTTGTGCAGCTCCTGTAACTCCCTTGGGGACATCCTGTAAACTGCTCCCTTAGGAGTCCTACTGCCAGGCTCTATCTCTATCCTGTGTTGGATTGGCCGCGGCACTACTCCTGTTGGCGGCTCTGTCAAATCTTTAAATTCTTCCAGCAGCTTGGAAATGGCTGGATCTATGGGCTAGTCTTCTTTAGGCCCAGTAACAGGTCTGACATACGCTACGAAGACCTGCTCCTCGAACTGCCCCTTTCGCACTAGTCAGGCGAACGCGGGAGCACTAAGACAACAATGTGTCAGGGAGTTGTCTACTTTAAACACATGAAATAGGCGGGCAATCTTAACCTCGCCTGACGGACTAGGGAGCCTACACTCATGCTCTCTCAGATGAAGTGTGGCCCCTGCTGCCTCTCCCCAATCCATTCCTAACACTATGTCAAAAGGGAGATCGTCCTGCACGAGGAGAGTCAGGGAATGGAGAACTTTTTCCACCTTCCCATCTTTCTGTAGGCGGAACTACGTCTGGACTCCCTCTACGTAGTGCTCAACATGCAAAGTGCGGTTATCTGCGAGGATACTAACTATGGGGTCTTCCAACTTCTGGACTTTTAACCCTAGCCTCAACTTCTTCAGCGCTCTACAACTAATATAACTGCAGGTAGCCCCCGAATCTATAAGGGCCCCAAATCTACTTCTAAAAACCTCTACATCCACTAGGACTACTAGTCCCTTACTATCCTTCTTCATTTTGGCCCAGGCAGGCATCCTCTCCTTCAACTGTTCTGCCACGCCTGTGAGGGAAGTGCCTAGAGAGACGCTAACACAATCAGTCTTTGGACAGCTAGCTAGGCACAGGCCTGCAACCTCTGCCGAAGGCTCGTGTGGTAAGGGAGTTTCCTGTACGCGCGCGCTCGCCTCCCCGCATGGCCTAGTAGTAGGGGCAGTTGCAACCCCCCCCCCCCCCCCCCCCCCCTGACACTGCCTTTTGACCCTGGGCAGCCCATCGGGCCTGTCTATATTTAGGACTATTTAATAATATGGGCCGGGTCACCGCAATATACGCATTGCCCCTGATCCATACGCTGTTGCCAAACTCTCTGGTCCAAACCCAAATCTTCCCAAGGCCGGTCTTGTGGCCAACCAAGGTGCCAACCTCCTCTCCTTTGAGGTGACCCTCCACCTCGTCGCTGCGGGGACCGACTGGGACCTTGACGATTTGACGGGGGACCTTGACCCCTACCTCCCTCTTGGCGGCTCCTTTGACCGCCAACCCCCTATGTGCCCGGTCCTCGACCTCCCGTGGCCTGGCCCCTTTGGCCCTGGCCTCCTCCTCTACTTTGCGGCCTCCCTCCAGCCGCGACAGCAATGTAGGTCCTCCCTTAGCCTACACTACTGTCTTACTCCTCGAGCCCCCACTCAATCTGACTGTAGGGAACTTCGGCAGTCCCAGCCTCGTCTAAAGTAACCCTAACCTGGCCAGAGATGGTACGACCTTTCCACTTTTTGCCCTTATCTAAGTCCTTATGCCAAAAAGTGGAAACTGGCATGGACTTCACCGCAAACATGACCACTTCTCTACTTAGCGCATCATACATCATGTTGGCCTGTTGGGTCTTGTCGAAGAGGTGCCCTCGCAAGGGCTCTGGTATGGCACGATAGAACAATTGGACCAGCTGGGTCTCAGTGACCTCGTGGTCTGGGACGACTACCAAGTCATCCATGACAGCTTAGAGTGCTCACGCACTCCTCCAATGTCGTGAGTGGATGGTTTGGANTCTGGGACGACTACCAAGTCATCCATGACAGCTTAGAGTGCTCACGCACTCCTCCAATGTCGTGAGTGGATGGTTTGGAGTTTGTCAGAGGCCCTGACGCCTCTCGTGACATCGGTGAACCTCTTACGGAGGAGTTTGAGGAAAGTGGAGAGAGGGGTGAGCCTAGAATATGCAATCATATTATGCTTGCAATCAGCAACGCGCGCAAGGGACCTGGCGAAGCTGGTCGCGTCGTCCTTCAACGCATGGAAGGCTACGAGGACTTGCTCCTCGATGGGGGATATGTTGTAAATACACGTATGTATTAATGCTAGCCTCCCAATTATGGAAACTACCATCCTTTTTCCCGCTATAAGCGTCAGGGAATTTGAGATTTACACGCTCTTTGCGGGGACGCGATGCGGCCTCTGCTGTGGCCACCGCTTGGCGCCTTCAATAACGCCCGCGCATAACTTCTCTGCGCTTTCCTTTAATCTTTTTACTTCAGTCCCGACGTGGGTTACCACGTCGCGCGCAAACTCTCTAAACCCGGATCGAATGGCGTGAAGGGTCACATCTGGACCCTTATTGGCCTGATGCTCCTCAATCCAGGCCTCGCTCAGTACCTCCGGGTACCCCAGAATCTTATCGAACTTTGCGGGGGTCTTTGCTTGTGCCTGTACCTCTAATCTGCACGCCCACACTCTCTCCACCTCTCTAGCCATCCGGTTGGCTTCCTCCCTCCTCCTCTTTTTCTCCCTCATCATACGCAACTTCCAGTCCAAGATTTTTTCATCTTCTGTCGTTTGGCATTCCAAGGGGTCCTCCATCGCTTCCAATTGCCTGGCAAATGTTTCTCTCTCCTCCTGGGGCATGTACAGCAGTGCCTCCTCATCCTCTCCCAACGATAAGTTAGCCACCCACTTGCTAATCTTTCTCTCCATCCATTTGTCCTTCTCCTTCGTGCCATTGCTTTCCCCTCGTCCTTCCCTGTGTCTCCTTTCAAGGGGTTCATCTTCTATCGCCTCCTCTTCTGCTGCTTCTTCTTCGGCAGCCTTCCTCTTCTCTTCCTCCTCCTACTATAGCTTCAACATCTCCTCCGTCTCCTCTTCCAACTTCTTCTTCTTCGTCCCTGCTCCTCCGCTATCGCCTTCAACTTCGCTTGCTTGAGGAGCTCCTTCTCCCTTCTCCCTCTCAGTAGGGCGGCGGCTTGCTCCTCTTGAGCTTGGGTGTAGGGGGCAGTACTCTTCCCACCACGGGTGTCAACCATGGTGTCTCGTGCACAACCGAACAACGGTTCCAGTCCTCACCACTTAAGACTCTACCCCCTAACTGACACAACCTACTGACTCAATCTAAGAACTTACAGAATCCGAACAGGATCCTGTCAACTAGGATCACTAACCTGGACCTACTCTAAGGCTGTCACTACAGGACCTGTTGCTGATAAGGAGGCATTTAAGGAGATCCCCCGTAACTCCTCAGAAATTCTTTAATGTCGCAGACAGGACGACGCGATCAGCAGGTCCTCTCAAGACTTAGACGGCCTGTTGTGCAGCCCACAACTCGAATTTTGGGCCTCCCGTGCCACACCGAGCAGCCCGCTGGCCAGTACCGGTCCTTGAGAGGGTTCGTGTCCTCCAGGACAGTCGAGTCGTCAGACACAGTCTTTAGCCCTACTCAGCCCGTGTGGGTTTGGTCAACAAAGCCCTATCCTTCATCCACAGAGTTCCTATCATCTGGACAAAAGAGACTCAATGCAGAAAGAAGAGACAGACAAACTTGACTCAGCAAGTACCACAGGGAGTGTGCACATCCATAGGGCGAGGGGATAGGCTGAAAGCTTGGCGAGATTATACCGGCTCCAGTTTGGTCAAAGTCGTGACTCTCCCGATCAGCTATGGCTGCCGTCTTCTTCCTCCTTACCAACCTTCCCCTTCCTTTCTCTTTTCTCGCCTCTTTCTTCTCCACCCCATCTGTCTTCTCTTTCCTTTTTTTTTTTTTTCTTCGGTTCCCCCATCTTCTTCGGCTATGGTTTCCTCACTCTTCTCGATCTATCCCTCCGTCCTCTCTTTCACCCTTCTCCGGTACTCTGTGGGCGAGCTCTGCAGCTATGGCCGCCTCCTTCCTCTTCGCTGGGCTGCACAACGGTCTCCACAGGTAAGTGACAACCAACCTTCTCTCTCTCTCTCTCTCTCTCTCTCTCTCTCTCTCTCTCTCTCTCTCTCTCTCTCTCTCTCTCTCTCTCTCTCTCNTCCTCCGGAACAGTCGAGTCGTCAGACACAGTCTTTAGCCCTACTTAGTCCGGCAGGGGTTTGGTCAACGAGGCCCTATCCTTCATCCACAGAGTTCCTGCACCTAGACAAAAGAGACTCGATGCAGAAAGAAGAGACAGACAGACTTGACTCAGCAAATACCACAGGGTGTGTGCACATCCATAGGGCGAGGGGATAGGTTGAAGGCTAGGCGAGATTATACCGGCTCCAGCTTAGTCAACTTCGTGGTCAACGCCTTGGTCAATGCCTTGGTCAACGCTCGGTCAACGCTGCTGTCAACCCCTGGTCAACCCCCGGTCAACGCCCGATAAACTCTTCTGGTCAACTTCCTCCGGTCGGCTATGGCTGCCAGCTTCACTTTTGTCGCCACCCTTCTCCTTCCTTTCTCCTTCCTCGCCTCCTTGCTCTTCACCCCGACTGTCGTCTTCCCTTTTTTTTTTTTTTTATCGTCTCTCCTTTCCTTCTCGGCTATGGCTTCTCTTTACCTTCTCAGTCTCCTCTTCCACCTTCTCTCTCAACCTCCTTCGTTCTCCGTGGTCAAGGTCCGCGGCTATGGCCGCCTCTCACTTCGTGGGACTGCACGACACACTTCACAGGTAAGTGACAACCAAACTTGTACCGCTCATCTCTCTCTCTCTCTCTCTCTCTCTCTCTCTCTCTCTCTCTCTCTCTCTCTCTCTCTCTCTCGCCGTAGCGATGTCTTCAACACAGGTACGTAGCAAACAATCCTTGTATCACTCATCTCTCTCTCTCTCTCTCTCTCTCTCTCTCTCTCTCTCTCTCTCTCTCTCTCTCTCTCTCTCTCTCTCTCTCTCTCTCCCCTTCTCGGACGTGGTCTTCTTTGCAGGTGCACGCGGTGGCTTCTCCAACCTCCGGATCCGCCATGGCGGACTTCTTCTCTGATGGTGACTTCGGCTATGGCGCGTAGCTCTCCCTGCGGCACACGACGGACATGCGTGGAATAGCGGGTACCAGCTCTGATACCAATGCAATCAGACTCGCTTTCATTCACTCTTCTCACGTATGTAAACAGGTTGCACAGCAAACTGGCGACAAGCGCCCACTCAGAACTCAGAGATATGGCAAACAAGAACACAGTTCAGATACAAGTTCACTTCAGATGGCTATGGCGGCTCAACGCCTGCACAACTCTCTGTTCCCTCTCGCAGGATCACCCTGGATATCCCACACGCGATACCCTGTACACACATACACACACACACACACGCTTCACTCTACCTACAGCTATGGCGGCTTTGGCCGCTGCTAACCTATCGCTATGGCTAAGCTCCTTCTCGCCCACTTTGTCTTCGGGCTCACTGCAGACCACCTCGCACAAGTCGTTGTGGCAGCGCTTCCGCATGGCTCACGCAGGAATGAATGAATGGTTGGGCGCTGCCTCTTGATTTATACTTCTGTAGCTTGTTGGTCTGCCCCTTTCCCATGACCCTGGTGCACACAGTCCCACACGGTACTCGCTTGACTGGACTGTGACTGACAGGGACCGGTACCGCTGACTGCATGGGTTTACACTGCCAACTCAATGCAGTCGCTCCTCCGACGTACTGCAGTTGGGCTCACCACTTGCCCACTTGCCTCAGCCTAAACGTGAGCAACTTCGAAAGGCCACTACCAGGACCTTCCGGAAGTCTGGGTTCTGGCCTTTCGAAGACTGTAGCAGCTACGACCTTGACCCTTCAGGACTGTAGCAGCTACGACCTTGACCCTTCAGAAGTTCTACAGTTACGACTTCTAGAACTCCCTAAGACTTCTACGAGACAGGTCTACAGCTCGAACCCCTGCTACCTACGAACCCTACGACAGTCCACCAACTGTTACAAATACACAGGTCACGGGTTCAACTCTCGTGGTCGACACAAATACTGTACACAGGTAAGGTGAGGACTAGGGATCGAGCCCTGGGATCTGCATCGGCTACTGCAAACAGGTGAATACCGTTTCATCTCTCTCTCTCTCTCTCTCTCTCTCTCTCTCTCTCTTTTCCGCATAGGGGTTATTGGGGGTTCTGAACCTTTTTTTTCCTTTTTTTTTTTTTTTTTTTTTTTGCTGTGTGCCGATGACCTCCGACAGGCAGGTGGCGACCAGGTGACCGGTCGGCTGGTCGACAGCCGAGGGCTGCCAACCGTCGGGGTGTGCAACACTAATTTTAAGTTAAAAAACAGTGCCTGCAACATATGGGGGGACTTTCTGCCCGCCACTTGGTGGGTTCTTTGAGTTCTCTTTTCGTCCATTTTTCACGCTTTGTTTTTTTCACTTCGGTACACCCACGAACTGTTGAAATACCGACCCACGTTCGAATCCAGTGACATCTCATAAATTCAAGGTCGTCGCCCTTGTGAAAAAAAAAAGCCAACTGAAAGGGTTTCACCCGGTTCGCGCAACATTGCAGCTACCAGGACTCGATCCCAGCCCTTCCCTAGCCCACTGTATAGTTGCCCATTGACCCTGTGCGCTTTGAACCCGCGACCTGTCCCTAAAACTGTGTACAAATATTTTGTGTGTGCAGTTTAGGTCCTGTGGACTTCATCCGTATATTAGTTGTTTAGAAGTCTTAAGGGTCATCTGTAAATTTCCTAAAATGGCAAACTTACAGTTGACCTTTCGAAAGGATTGTGTACATAACTAAAACAATTACAAACACCTTGTAGAATCTGATTAAATTTTTTAAAAATCTTCGCAATATCCAAGTTCACCCAGGCCAATTTGGCATGTGGTTTACCCGCTTGATCACAAAATCCAGATCTACTCAGGTTTTTTATTATATTAGAGACAGGTGCTTCCATTGTAATATTGGTTTTTCCAAGACTGATAAGTGTAGACAAGAATTTCACTTTATCGCCAAAGCTCTATCTTCGAGGATATTCTCAAATTAATACAAATATCATGTACCAAGTTACAAATCTGTTTGGCCAAACCATACGTCCTCTGAAAAATCAGTAGGTCGTGGCTAGAGTAGTGCTCGAAGAGTCAACTTGACCTCTCGCAGGTTGAAAGGCCAGTCCGTCGATCTCTGAAAGGTCAAGAAACAAGTCAACACTGAAGGGGCAAGTGAAAGGGCAGTCCCAGTCCAGTCCGTTTTGCACCAAGTACCAGAGTGGGACTGCACATCTTGAGGGCCTGGGACATCGGGCAGGCCCAGACCACCAAACGAAACAGTATAAATAAAGAGGGCCATCAGTCACACTCGTTATCTGGGGAACTACGCAGAAGCGCTGATCGAGTGACTTGTGCACTGAGTTCACTGGTGGTCAGCAATAGAGCCCGAAGGTGGAAGAGAACAAGCGGCCATAGCCGCTAGAGAGGAGGAAGACGACAACGGCCATAGCTGCCAGTGTGACGAATTCGTAGTTGGTGTGTGTGTATGTGCAGACATTCAGGGTAGATCCAATCCAAGTGTTGTGTGCGTACATGCATGTGAGTGTCTCTGATGGTGGATACAGTGTTCGGGTGGGAATTCCAGACTGGCGCTCAGACGCCATAGCCATGAGATGTGACAAGTTTCGAGTTCCTGGCCGAAGGCCATATCTCTGAGTTCTTTTGTGTGGGCACACTGCGCCATCTCAAGTCCGCTGCTGATTTTGCATCTGTTGCATATTGTAACGTCCAGACCAGAACAAGAACCGACCTCTCAATACAAAGTACAAGATAACACAGCGGAAGACTTAGATACCAGTGATCCGAACAATCAATATTGCAATGCAGCCCTGAACATACATCATCATCATCGTTACATGGTGTGAATGGGGTCTGGCGC